TTTTTTTTTAAGGTATCTTACATCATAAGATGGAAACTCAGCAGAGGGTGGGGGCCAGGAGCTCTTTTAGCAGTGCCAGATTCCTACTCACCACTTCATCCTCTAAGGAAGCAAGACACAGGGCTGTGCTTTCTCACTAAGAGAAGAAATGTAGCCCTCTTAAAGTCTGAACTCTTGTGTTACAGAGATGGGATACTGTATCGTGTTATGGCTCCATGTGGTTCCTAAAACAATTCATGGGGGCTGAGGCCCATAGGTGCTATCTTAATGCAATGCAGTTAGAATAGCTAAGAATAGCACTATATATCTTACTATGTTAAACAAGGAGATAACAAAAAATCAAAATCAGAAACACGAGAGCAGATGAAGAAGGGAACTCTGTTGCAGGATCCAGGAGAATCCCCTCGTGCCCTACGGTGAGGTCCTGTGCTCTTCATTCGCGCTGGTGTAAACCCGCAGGCTGTTGCACCACTGACTAACATGGATTCAAGGAACTGCATTTTTTTCTTTCTCCCACCTTGATCTTCCTGGAGCTGGTGCTTTGTAGTGCATACCTCGTGTTAAACACTCTGAACTACTGTTGATGAAAATTAGCTGAGTGAGGGGTGGAGGAAGCTAACATCCGAATGATGTGTTCAGCACAGATTTTCAGTAAATCCACCTGAAATACCGATTCTCAGCTGATTGTGAGGACCTGCTTTGGATCAACAGTGCATGAATATATCAGCCTGCTAACAATATAGTCCGATATATCTCCTTTCAGCATGTTGAAATTGTCAGTGAGAAGGGCTACTAGATTCTCTTCTTGGAGCAATTTGAAATAATCACTCTGTATATTCCGTATAGCTGCACAAGACCTGAGGTCTAGAGAAGTTGGTGTCAAGCAGTATCCATGTTTAAGGAATTAAAGTACTTATCCATTCAAAACCCAAGAAATACAAGGGGAAAGATAATTTTTCATGTTGCTTGGTAATTGAAGGAAACAAACAATGAAATACAGCTTTTAAAACACATACTCCCTTACAATAATTTAATAAACCGCGCTGTCATCTCATAAAGAATTGGGATGGTTGCCGTGGTGACAAAGATTATCCTTGCTGCTGCTTGATTCTGTCATTTTCCTAAACATGAATTCATAATATTTAGGATTTATTAACAATGTGTCACACTGATAGAGATAAATTACATGCTTTAAACTGGCCATGTAAGTCTTCTATGATATTATAGCCACTTTGTCAAATCAGCAATAAGATATGATGTGATTACTAGAAAATTAAAGCTATTTGTCATAAAGGATGAGGCAGAGAGCATCAAAACTCTCAGAACAGAAGAAAAATCTCCAATAATCTAAGGTGTTTCCTTATTTTAAATATTTTGGAGTTAGCAAATAGTCACTACTTTCTGTCTTGTAAATTGATTAAGATGAGCATATATTGAGACTAGATTTATTTGTGCTGGGAAAATTTAGGTTGTAATGTGTCAGAATTGATGTGTTCTAGGCTGCAATTTTTTATGATGGTTCAAAATGTAATGGGGAGCTTGTGAAGATGCCTTAATGATGGCACATTTTGCAATATATAAAAACATATATATACACACTTATGCATTATGAAGATGTATTTCACTTCAAGGAATTTGTGTAGGATTTTTTGTTATGGATGGTATCCTAATTGTTGCAGCAAGTTAGATGAGATTCTCAGTGCTGCTGTCCAGAAAATATTTTTTAGTGTTCTTTACTGAAGTATTTGTGTCAAGTAGGTTTCACTGCTGATACAATGTGGGGCTGATTTAGATGGCCAGCTCTACAGTCATTGGTCTATATATATTTTGCAGTCAAATTAGCAATAAGAAATTCCCTAAAACCACATTAAATTTAAAATTTTCTTTTTAAAATAAAGGTTTATACTTATTTTTTCAAGAAAAATAAGGCCTATTTTCTGTAGTGAGACACATAATAGATGGTGGAACCCAGCAGTGCTGAGGCATCTTAAGGCAAGTAAGGAATATGTGTCCATGTAGATGACTGCCTGAAGAATGTGATTTATCACTTGGTGGGCCATATTCATCTCTGTGTGTAGGATGACCTCTTGGGCCAGGTGAGATATATTTCTGCTGTATGTTGCAATGCAGAGGAAGTGACTCAGCTTTCTTTAAATGCATTAAGTCAGAGTCTGGAGGCAAGTCTGGAGCAGCAGCATGGAGAACTGCTCAGATGTGCTCAGAAGCAGGGTGCAATCCTCCAGCTGTTCTCTTGCACCGTTTCTACCACTTAGGCCACATAAACTAGTTTATGCATCCTTTAAGCAGAACAGGTAGAAAAAGCATGAAAATCCAGCAACTAGATTCTCTCAGTTAATAGAAAAAAACCTTCACACAGTTGCAGAAAGAAAAATAATCCAGGCTCAGCTGAAATACAGCGAATCAATATGATGTGATTTCTTCCTAATCGCAACCTTTATAAACCTGAGATTTATAGAACAATAAATGAAGTACACACCCAGGCTGCAAAGAACAGGATGAAAACTGAAAAGGAAGTCCTTTTAGCTTAATGATATCATATAATTAGCTTAGTTATGCTGCCATATGTAAGTGGCTAACAGTGATATATATTTTAGCCTTTATTACCCTTTATCTTAGTGGAATAATGTTCTATCTGAAGACAGCATAGGCTGATGCCATAGAATAATTATGTTCCTTGCAAACCAGACACAATCATTATTTCAGATGACAATTACTCTTCAATAAAAACATTCTGTATTTACTTTCAAGGACCTATGCAAAGATCAGAGTCTTGGGAAGGGAAAATATCATTGTCTACTGTATCTATTTGGCAATACGCTTCTTGTTACAACCTGAGCAAATAACTAAGGGTGTAAGTGGAAGATTTCAGTTGTCTTCAACAGGCATTAAAGTAGCTCCTTAGAGTTGAGATGTAATATATGTAACTTTTTCTAAGTTGGATTAAGTTTGGGGTCAGTGTTCTTGTTATTTATACCCTGCAGACCAAATCTAACCCTAAAATACAAGGAGGCACCTCCCAAGAGTCTATTGAGATTTGCATATGCTTTTGTCAAAGATGAATTTGATCCCATAATTAACACAAGTTTCCTACCACAGGAAATATATGCACAATACCATAAACCAGACACTCTGTATAGTCTTAATGACTCTTTTGCGAACCTATAATAAAGGACCTTTAAATTTCTACCACTGTATGCAAACAGTGCCATGTAAGCTCGATTTAATTCTTGCTTGCTTTTTCTCAAATTCAACATTTTGCATTTTTGATATTATCCTGGTTTTGACACAATAAGGGCAGTAGGAAAAACTCAGTTACAGGGATATATAGCAGTAACTTAACATCAGTGTCACAGATGAGGAATTGTGTTTGAAAAAGATGGCATAGAAAGAGCAGGAAAATACTAAACCCCTTCCTCTTCTAACAAGGCAGTTCTCAGTGTGTTGGTATACAGCATGATTAAAATGAGTCATTCTCTGAGACAACAATCCCTAACCTGGGAACTTTTATATCTGTGATTTGTATACAGAAGCGAGTCTACCTTTTATTGCGTGTTGAAGCTACCAACTTAATGTTATAATTTTTGTCCATATATGTTGTCTACATATATATATATATATATAGTTGAATTTTATTGTATATAATTGTGAATATACAGATGATAAAGCCATGGCTCTGCTATAATATTTGAAACATTTAGTTATTTTTTATTATGAGAATGCATCTGATATTTTTGTGTTTGAGAATTATTTTAGTATTGGTGACTCTACATTTCATTGTTTTCAGAAATTCATAAACAGAAACCGGAGAGACATGAAAAACGAATAGCACCGAAGGGTAACTTTATTTTTTTGTCTGTTTACTTACACATATGTATGTAATATATAGTGTATTTGTTTACTATATGTGTTAGCACCATTGTATTACAGAAGCATTCAAAGATTAGTTGGCATTCACTGTAAATGATCAAAAATTCACGTATACCTTAGCATTAACAAATAGTGTCTTTTTATGTTTGTGTGGCTGGTTTGTAAATGCACATTCATAATAAGATTCTGCTGCCCAAACTTATCCAGGAATTTTTTTTGTAGCAAAGGTGCAAGAAAGTAGAGGGCTGATGAACTTCCTCTGGTGCAAAAGGCATGAAGTGTGTTGGGCAAGGAAGAAAGCAAATTTATAGGCCAGTGGGTGCCATCCAAGTTAGGAAGTCATAGTTAACAGTGAGCCAGGTGTGTATCAGAGATAAGAAAAGCCTCCATTTTAAGCATCTACTCTTTTTCAGACTCTCTAATCTCCTCTAACCGGCACTTTCCAAAAATCCACGGAGGAACTGGTTGGGACTGGTTTTCAGAGGTCAAGTAAACAAATAAGTTTCCTTGGGTACGTGCAGATATTTTGCCTAAGAAAGCCTCCTCTGTAAAGGTTAGGCCACGTAAAATTTGATGAGCATCTCTCTGACGCGCCAGTGCTGTCCTTAGTAATGGCAGGAAGAAGCAAGAAGGAAGCTTATTAAAAATAGTGTGTATATACATACACCCTCCCTCGCACAATTGCATTCATTTCTGCATATATTCTTTATATGTTTTTACAGTATTTTACACCTCTAGTGCTAGCTTTCCAGTTCTGTGCTAATCAGGGTCATCTAAAGTGCCTAGAACTGCCTCCCAACTACTTAATAAATCACGTTGTATGAAAATGATTTTTTTGGAGGTATCAGTGGGCTAGCCAGGCAATAATGAGCTCAGATTCATTAGCAACATATCCCAGTTAAGGTCTTTTCAAGTACAATATTCTAAAAACACAAATGAAGTTGCAGTCTTGACCAAAACAGTCTCTTATGTACCATTTATCTATACAGAAGTGCATTGCTTTGCATAGAAGAACATTAACATTGCAAAAATGATTACTAAGAAGTTATAAGATGCCAGAAAAAAAGCATTCAGGTGTCATTAGTTAAGTTCTTTTATGCGTATTCCTGATAATGCAGTCTTTAATTATACAACCACTTATTGAAGGACAGTACAAATATTTTTTTTTTCTATTTTTTATTCTCATGTTTAGTCCCAAATATTCATCTTGTACATACGAGGAACAATTACGAGAAAATATTCTCTCTGGCCTCAAGCTAGAGCATGATAAAGACAAGAATCTTTAGGGAGTTTTACTGTTGCCTTCTAAAGCACCTGCAGGAAGCACGTGTAAATCCAATCTTTTACTGGTTTAAAAAAAAAAACAACCTAGAGTTAAAATGAATGTTTTTAATAGAAGCAAACATCCAAAACAAATTTCAATCCTCAAAAAAATGAGGATACTAGAGTTTTAAAAATAATTTAAAGTATATTTTTGAGTAGTCAAAACCTGTGAATCCAAGACCCAAGATTTACAAGGAAGCTTCATCCATAAACCTCATTTTGAAAAGATTGCACTGAAATATGAGGAATGTAAAATGAATAGAAATCCTAGATGGAAGTGGCTGAAATTACAAGATTCTTACAGTATTAAAAGCCAGACAAACTTGTACCCTAAAATTTGCTTTTAATTAAATATTTAGATAAACTACTAGTAATAAATTCTATTTCAATTATCGTACTTAGCCAATTTAATCCAGAAAGGAAGATGTACTCTGAGAAATGATTCAACAAAGCATTTGCTCATGCTTAAGTGCACTGAAATTAAATTATTTCATGATTATGTGTATACATAAGGACAAATTCACTACAAAGTAGGGTCTTTCCAATGTGGTATTTGATATATTAGCATTTTCACAAGCACTGAACTGTATGAGCAGGGGTTCGGCCGGTCAGTGGAGGCAAGGGATTAATCATCCTCCTGTACTCAGCTCTCATGAGACCATATCTAGATACTGCATCCAGTTCTGGATCTCCCAGTACAGGAAAGACATCAATAAACTGGGGCAAGTTCAGTGTGGGGCTACTGGAATGGTCACGGCTGGAGCAGTTGTCCGGATAGGAGGGGCTGAGGGATGGGGCTGGCTCTGCCAGGGAAAGCTGGCCTGTGAGTCTCTCATCTTGCGACATATGCAGACTTTGTAAGGTCCTGAGCTGCTGCTGAAGGCTGCTAAAGAAGTAGATGTTATGACTGTTATTACTATGACTATCAATGACTAAGAAGTAACTATGCGATACTGTGACAACAAGAACAATATTAAAATATGTCGAGATAGAATTAAATATAAGTATGTAATTTATATCTAATGGAAGGTTCAGTGATAATTTCTGATTTTTATGGAAAACTAGTGTTAGCAATGAAATTAATTAGCCCGCATTCCTGGGAATTACAACAGACATTGAGAAGGAATGGGAAAAGGTTGGTCTACTGTGTGGCTTTTCCCAAATACACTTCACTGATACATTGCTGTTGGAGTGAGGGATGGAAGAAGACAATGTGATGATGAAATGTTATCTCTGATAGCTGTAAATAGAGTGGTTTTAGGACAGATATTTGTGTGCCTCTGAATTAGCACAAGCCTGGTTTTTTTTAGAATTCAGCCTGATTTGACAAATCGATTCCAAGACCTTCAAAACTATTTCATTTACTACGCATAATACATATTGGAGACAGCTAAAAAGATAAATAAAACTGGACCATACAAATCCACAGGGTGTTAGAAACTCAAATATATTGACAAATTTAGCAAGTTAAATGACATATTTACATCTGACACAGGGACTGTCTAGCCTCATTTCTGGAGGTATGACTACACATATACCTGAGTTAACTTTAAACTAGGTAGCATGGTACAGATAATAAGGTTTCTGCAGTGGCTCAGGTATAGCTTTCAAGTATTTATTTAGCTGTATGGGGTTACAGCAGCCTAGGGTGAAGCCCATGCTGTGGGAAGTTTGACTACCACCAGTAGCTGTCAAACCTAAATCTCAGTTCAGATGGATATAACACTGTCTGACTGCTGCAATTAAATCTTATTACAAGCATGTAATTCATGAGATATTGTCTTACTCTTATATAGACATTTACGTTCAGTGTTGAAGTGCTGTATTTACAGCACAGGGTTAGGTGCTGCAGTGAGCAGCATGGGCATGTCTGGTGCTGGTTTGGGAAGCTTTGGGCAAGCTCAGAGGAAAGCCTTTTCCCCCTTCACAGGTATCTGTGACGGTTTGTAATGAGTGCAGGTGCCTCCTCAGTTCATTAATTGCTAGGATTTCCTTAGGTTAATTTTCTGGACCTGGAAGCCTTCACTCCTCTCCAGATGAAGTTTTTTCTTTTTTTTTTTTTTTTTAAGTTTCTTCAAGAAGAATTAAGTTATAGCCATCTAAGGTTACTTTACTTTTGAATAAAAGCATCTACACAAAGGTTTAATGCTCTCTGACTAATGCACTCTAACTTCATTGTATTAGTTCATTTATCTTAACTTTCCTGAGATGTGCTCTGTAGAAAAGCACTTAGTCAGTTAGCTGGAGCAAGCAATCTCTGCTTCACGCTTATTGCACTCGTCACCTAGCTTTACACTAAGCAGCAGACTTAAGACTTACTCAGCTGGAAACTATTTTTACTTCCCTTAGGAACAGAATTAATACCTCCTTATTACATCTCCTTTTTTTGCACTTGCTTTTTTGGGATGAGGAAAGTCTCTGTCTCAAACACTTTAATGAAGTAAAACTAAATCACATCCCCCTTCACTTGATGTAAATCAAATATACTATTAGATGACTGAAATTTGTAAAAGTCTCTCACGTATACGCTATGCTTCTCGTTTTTAATTTTATGTGAAGTAGATGGTAATATTCTTATATGATTATGTTTGGAATACAGTGTTAAATTACCTTAAAATGTTCCATTATGAATTCCTTTTTTAGATTATTTATGTTTACCACATTCCAGTCATTGAGGATAAAATTTTTTGCACTCATCTTTTTAACTCAGGCTGAATTTTCATTCAAAGTCATATAAAAATATTTCAGCAATTTCCAAAATCGAGGAAAGCAAAAATTAGGTTAGGGTGTTACATTTTTTCCAATGCTAATAAGAGTTCATTCTGAGCTTATGTTTTTTGGTATTCGCAAGGAAGTCCAATAAAATGTCTTTAAGTTGTGGGAAAATTTTCACATACACAATTGTCATAAAACTAGTTTTAATTATTCTTCTTATTTTATCTGGATGAATCCAGCATCCTATTAAAAAAAGAAAAGAGATGATCTTTTAATTACAAAGTGCGTCATACAGCCAATAAAATGGTTGAATTAAAGCTGAATGAGCAGTTTTGCTTCCAGCATTTTTCAGCTGAAGAGCGCTTGACTTTGTAGCCTTAAAAGCATTTTTATGTGCTTACTCTTTGTTTATTATATGGAAAAAAGAAAATCATATTAACTCTAGTCTGTTTCACAGAAACATAGCAGTATGGCCGGGCTGACTTTCTAAAACCTGATGCTTGCACCTAAGTGCTGTGGACTTGAAAAAAAGCATGTGTCAAGCCCTTCACAAAGAAATAGGCAACCAAGTGACCAAATCTGTGAAAGAACTCTAGGCACTGAAGTATTTTCTCTGACAGAGTTTTAGGACTACACATGAAGCTGAACATGAAAACATTTCAGGAGGTAAAAACAAAGATAATATGCAAAAGAAAGATCATATTTAAGTTTGTCAGATCAAAAGCTTCAGTGGATTTAGGTGTCCCTGCGACACTGTGACAGAAGAGTCAAAAATGGCCAGTCATCACAGCCCTGAAACATGAACCCTTTCATTTTTGGCAACACCTGCCCTTCCCGGGTAAGGTTGTACCCAGAAGCCACAGCTCTGGCAGTGTCCGTAAGAGGTAACGGTAAACATTCCAATCTGAGATTTGCAAGCTCTGAGGCTATGGGGATATCAACACTCAGGGTAGGGCTCTTGGACTAACCAGAGACTTCAGCCTATCACTGGGAAAAGGAAAATAGCTTATGCTTATGCCAGCCTGGTCTCTGCTTATCCACGTTCCAGGCTCCCTGCCCAGATACATCAAATTACTTTCATTTCTCAAGAAGGAACCAACTGATCCCTTTTCCATGTTTTTAGCTTGGAATCCACACAAATACTAATATTTCTTTGCATTTTAGCCCTTTGTACTGTTCTGATGATATGAAGGAACCTTAAATTAGATTTTTTTTCTGCGCTTTAAGGTCTGCTGGCACTCAATTCAGTTAGTGTCATTTAAGGCTCTTTTTGTATTTTTTCCCAAAGCATGAGATAGGGGGATGCTATGGAGAAACTGGAGTAAATCTGAAAAAAAAAAAAAAAAAAAAAAAGGCAACAAAAAACCACAACAGTCTCCCTTACACAAGTAACATATTCTGTGGCTAAAATCAAATTTTCTGATTGCCAGCCTGTTCTGCATAGTTCAGCTATATTTTTTGGCATAGAGACTACAAGGGTTTTTGTCTGTTGTGTAGAAGCTTGTGTTTTACTGCCATTGACCATCGCAGACCTATTGTTTGCAAAACTGTGCTATTGCCCCATCCTAAACAGACAGCACACTGGGTCAAGTGCTTTGCATAGAGCTGGCACCTGCTAATATAAATGTAAGATGTAAACACATGCCACAATTTCTGCAGAAATATTCAGTCTAAATTCTACACGGTACAGGGATAAAGGAGACTGCTTTTCCTTGGTATGCTGCTAGATGTCCTAGAATGAGTTACAGTCTGTACCACATTCAATACACTGCTAGTGCTGCTGCTCTCTTCACAGCCTGTATTTTTAGTGTAAATTGGCTGTCCACATTCCTTAAAGGCTTTGAAAAATCTTGCTTCTATCTCTTTCCACTGTACTGCAAATTGCTATCAACATTAATATACCTGTTATGACTGGAAATGTATTTGGATAGTGCAAACCCATACAAGACATTATGAAATTAAGGTATGTTTGGAAAGATTTTTCTTAAAGACATGGACCTATTTTTTAATGAGGAAATATTTAACCAACAAAAAAAAAATGCTTGCACCTCTGTGAAATTACATTTACTGCAAAGCTGGTGAAATGAATGTATGCAAAAACATTACTGTGCTTGTTTATAAAGCTCACAGTTGTCTTCTAATCATAGTTGTGTTTTTTCTATCATTTACTTGTTGATAGAAACTTCAATATTGCAAAGCAAATATTTTTCCCCTGAAATTGCCAAACACTAGTCTTTTAGAAGTAAAGGTTGACAAGGAATGTTTTTGTCTATCTAAATCATTCGGATGTGGAATATAATCTTGTCTGGAGATATGATCTGAAAGTTGGGTGGGCAAGAGAGTCCATAAGGATTCCTGTTTGCCTGCTTGCTTCTAGCAGGATGTGTAGTTGGTTGTTTTGAACAGCTGCTCTTCCTGAAGTCACCCTCTGATTAGAAGAGATGTTTTTTCGTTTGTCCATCCTGTGGCTGAAGTAACAGCTAAAAATAAAGAAAAAAAGAGCATGGAAAGAAATATGCTATCCATTTTTTGTTAAGAATAGAAAGCAATGCTGTCGAGGATTGAAAATAATATCCTTTGTAAGAAATCTTAAAGTCAGGGTGCTTGTGTAATGGGACCAAAAGAGATCCCACAGATTAAATTAAGGTTGTTGAATAATCACTTATTTTGCAAAAATATGGTCTAACATAGAATCATAGAATCATAGAATGGTTAGGGCTGGAAGGGACCTTCAAAGGTCATCTAGTCCAACCCCCCTGCAAGGAACAGGGATATCTCCAACTAGATCAGGTTGCTCAGGGCCTCGTCCAACCTGGCCTTGAACGTCTCCAGGGATGGAGCATCCACCACCTCTCTGGGCAACCTGTTCCAGTGCTCTACAACTCTCATGGTAAAAAATTTTTTCCTAATATCCAACCTGAATCTACCTCCCTCTATTTTAAAACCATTACCCCTTGTCCTATCACAACAGGCCCTCCTGAACAGCCTCTCCCCATCTTTCCTGTAGGCCCCCTTGAGGTACTGGAAGACCGCTATAAGGTCACCCCGGAGCCTCCTCTTCTCCAGGCTGAACAGCCCCAACTCTTTCAGCCTGTCCTCATAGGAAAGGTGCTCCAGCCCTCTTATCATCTTCATGGCCCTCCTCTGGACCCTCTCCAACTGGTCCATGTCCTTCTTATGTTGGGGGCTCCAGAACTGGACGCAAACATCTGAAGCTTTATTCAAGGAAAAATATTTCTCTTGGACCTGGAATTAAATAGTGACATTAAGAAGGTCTATACCTCATCTAGTACCTGTGATCCAGAGCTAAAATCCATTATTTGATTTTACAAATATTTTTGCTCAATTACTTTAGTGAAATAATAAGCATACATAATACCTCTAGATTATAGATTTATTGTGGTTTAGGTTTGGTTTTGGTTTTTTTTTTCCTAGTAATTCACAGAGACAAATCCGAGAAACAAGAAAAAATTGAGAGGAAGGAACCTCTAAAGGGTATGTATTCAGCATTTGATGTTTTTTGTCTTTTTACCAGTGGTTCAAAACAGTCTAATTTATTGACTCTTAAACCCTTCTTGTAAATCCCAATTATGTTTAAGGATGGAGGAGGTATTGTGAAAGCCAGCTGGAAGGAGAGTGAGGATTTTAAAAGCACTTTGAAGTCATCACTCTGCAGAAAGGCTAAAATTATATTCAGAGATTAATGAATAAGTTTTTACTGTATTATTAACTTATGTAAAAGATGTACAGAGCATAAATAGGTGCCTTTTTTATTCTTCTTGAATAAATCCGAGCATAAAATTTGTCTTTAGGAATACTTCCGAGCAAAACATAATGAGTAAACTATAACATGCAGGGCACAGTCTCTGGAGGCATTCTGCTTCAGAGACCTGCCTTAGAAAAAAATATTTCCCCAGGCTCATTTAAGAGACATTGGGGAGAGGGTGTTAGAGAAGATTTACTAATTTGCTGTTGGTGTATGCCAACAACAAATTACAGATCCATCTGTAGTAGGAGTCAGAATCACGATATTGCTTCCTCTCCACCCACAACTCATGAGTTAGCTCTGGGTTCCAAAAGCTGCAATGTAATTTGCCTCTTTTGAGGGAATTTTTGGCAAAAGATAATTTTGTTGGAATATACCCACTTATCAAAACACTTTAAGTCTTCTGAGAACATGTCCTTTACATAAAAATGTGATTAATGAATTCTCAGGCTTTAGGAAGAAACTCATTCTGGAAGAGCAAGTAGGCCAATGGCGATGATAAATCACCCGAAAAAGGGAAGACCCAGTATCCAGCCAAGGCTGATTTATTTCAGACCAAGAACACGAGTCTCACAACCCAAGTGAATGTGCACTTTCCTGAAATCTGTGCTTGACTAGGCCCTTCTAATGATCTCTGATTGGAGCTTTTCCATTTTATATCAATAATTCAAAATACATTGAGTCAGAAAGATGACTCTAGAGGTTAACTGCAGGCACATGAGTTGAGGTTTCTGTGAGAATGAATATTTGTTACTAGAAAATGGAATGGTGGTAACAAGAGAAATTTTTTCTGAGATTTGGAAAAATGACAGAGCAAAGACTGTGATGTCCCGTATTAAAACATGAATGTGTTATTGATGTGTCCTGTTATTTTGTGGAAAACTTGGGAAACTCTTCAGTTTGATTTGATATGAGAACAATATTTAATGTCTTTTAAAGTTTCTTAGAACAGAAAAAAATTATACCAGCTAATCTCAGATAACCAATGAAGAAGAAGAATTATTGTAATGCCTAAGCTTCTCATAACTCCTATTAATATTCTACCTAACTGTATTTGATCTTAAAGTGAATATATGACTTAGTTTTATTTAGTGAACTACTGCTGCAATTGCAACTAAAAGACTACTGCATATAGACATTCTCTGTATTCACAGTACTAAGAAGCATGGTTTTCGGATTGTACATTACATTATAAAACTAGGATTTTGGATACATGTGTTTTCTAAGACCTGTTTCATTGTAGTGTGACTGAGAGACTTCAAAGCTTCACTGCATCCCTATATTTTAGCTGCTTATTTTCTACTTTAAATTCATTCCCTTTTCAAGATTTAGATAACAGAGAGAGTAAACATCCTATTCTAATTTCTAATCAACTTTTGTGATGAAGTTTAGGGAAGTTATCTAATGACATAGACAATAATTAGGAGTGTCTCAGTCACTTAGAAGTGACTCAGTCAGCCATGCCAGGAACTCATTCTCATGTATTTCATCACTATATTGCTAAAAAAAAAAAAATGTGAGACCTTGAATATTCCCTACCCTTCTTTTGCTTGCAGTTAGATATGGAATTCACAGTACTGTAAAAGAACCTCCTTGTTTTCTCGTATTTGACAAAGGGAGTTTTACTAAACTGGGATGAAGTCTCCACATGAGTTAGGAACTGCTAGCTTGCAGTTTCACAGCTGATTTTTGTGAAGTGCTCTAAAATCCACATGCATATTTCCCATTGTCTGAAAAATTATTGCATAATATCCTAAGAAAAGTGAGTGGAACATGTTATGTGAATGAGTGGATAGTATAATACGGTTTCTACTGTCACAATGTTAGTTTTCAATTTGCACGTACCGGGCATCTAATTATGGCTCAGATCGTCATTGCCAGGGACTGATCTCAGCTCATGCCCGTCACTAGCTATCTGTATCCATTGCTAGCTATCCATATCCATTACTGGTTATCCATTTCGAGCCAGCTGGCATGTGACAGATATGTCATTTGTGCATGTGACTCTCTTATGCTACAGGATTGATTCCAGGGTTTTTACAAGCCTCTGCCCGACAGAGTACGGGGTGGCCCAGGTGATGTCCTCTTCCTAGTGAAGGCAGCAGCGTTTACTGTGAGCTCTGACCCTAGTCCTTGACAGTTTTCTGAAAATCTCTCTTCAAGAATGGACAGATAATTGCAAGCAATGATGTTAACATAGTAAATAGCTGACGCATGCTACCGTGGCTTGGATGGCAAGCAGTAATTTGTTAGCCAGAGTTGTCTGCTCACAGTCACGTAGTCTGATGTGTGCAGATACTCACAGGTAGCTCAGGAGTAACACAGTTCGCCGTTTTGTCTGCTAAGGTTCATCATGGCAGAATTATTTTTAATTCTTAAGTTTTCCCACTTTTTTTTTTAATACGTATGAACACATTTCTTCTTTCCTAGTGATGCATAAAGACAAACTGGAAAGACAAGAAAAACCTGAAAAAAAGGAAAGGCATGCAGGTAATGATTTAATGTCAGTACTGATTTTATATTTTGAGGTACCCCAGAATTAATTGTCTACTCAATTTCTGTTTATGTATCCCCTTGATTGGAAAAAATGTTGTAGAACTTTATGAATAAAAATCATGGGATCATATAAAGGTTTGCAGACATACAGACTGAGTAACATTTTGCATTCCTTCTGCATATTTGTGGTCTTTTTCTGAGGAAGGGAGATAACATATTTTATACTCTGGATTAATACAATCTGCCAGTAAACTCAGAGTATTTCCAACACTCACAGTAAGTATGGTTGCTAAGAGAATACAGTCATCCAGGAAAAACACCTGACAACCTGTAAATAAATGTAATGAGACAGGCCATATGGAAAAAAAAAAAAACAAACCAACAACAATAACATTTTAAATACAATACTGATTAGGGTTGTTGCATAGGCATTGAATAGGACAGGACTAATTCTTTAAGTAGTTACTTGCAATAAATAGGTATCTGGCACTGCTTTATCTTCCACAATTCTTACTTTCTTCTGAAATACCAAGACAAAGCTGGAGAGTGCATAGCAATGCTTATGCATTTTTGTGTTCTCAGTACAAACTCATATACTGGAGTCAAATGGGCAGCTGAGTGTTTTCACACACCTAGTCCCTGTAGGGTACCTCAGGGGATATGGGCACATACAACTATCAGTTCTGCACACCTGTGGACAAGTTACTGTGTAAACATAAATAGCAAAAGAACAGTAAAGCAGAGGCCACATAGGAGAATATTCCAGACTACCTACCGCTGAGTGACTATTGCCCAACTCAGGTGTCTTCTGAAACCTGAGCTAGAAACCTAGTCACTATAGTGTACTTTCTTTCAATTTGTAAAGTGGAAATTAAAAGCAAACAAAAAGCCCCAAAGAGCATTAGTTATAATGCCATTGCAATTAGATTTGTAATTAATTATGGCGTTTAATCATTCATAGCTGGAAAAACTGTTAGTTGTTATGTGGAGTTCAGGAAATACTTCAGAAATTAACCAAAGTAATAAACAAGAAAGCTCAAAAATAAAAATAAACCAAAATAAACCAATAAACAACAGTATAAACAAAACAAAATGAACCAGTAAACAACATAAATAAGCTGACTCTTCTTGACTAACTTCTTTCATGTGGTTACAGTTGTGCCATAAAGGCCATTCCTCCCTCAGCCAATGGCAGAGACCTTAGGGATGGTAGAAGAGTGTTTCAAAGTCCAAATCACGTCTTTTGGCATCACCAGCAGACAGCAGCATCTGAATCAATCTTTCTGATTCTTTGGATGGTTACCCATGGTGTCTAGTTGTGTTTCTTGATGTTTTTTCTCCTTTTCTCACTTAAAATGCAACAATTTCTCTTTTTTAATAACCATTAATGTTGTTTATTCCTAGCAACTCAGAAAGAGAAACCTGAAAAGCCAGAAAAACATGAAAAGAAGGCACCTTCTAAAGGTAATGCAGATTAGCATTAGATGTTGTACAGTTTTAGATTTTTAGCAGTGCTATAGTTTGGGACAGTGTGGAGATGAGTATCTAAAGTATTAATCTCTTACAGTCTATGCTGTACATTTTTGGGTGCTCTCACTTTTGCTTGAGCAGGTCTTGATCAGCCCCTCAGTCAATCTTGCTCGGCATGTATTTCTTGCTTAGTTATCTTGTTTAGATGCATGGAGGTAATTAAAAATCATTCTTGTGCAGCTAAAGAAATAAGACTGTGACTATTGTATTTTCATTCTTTGATGTCTTTTCCTCCACACCGGAATTCAGTAATTTGTCTGCAAAGGCAGCTTTCTCTTCTGTATCAGTTTTCAATCTGGCGCAGACCTAATGCAAGAATGTTTGCTAACTCTCAGTCTGGGTCCTCCATTATAACCAAAAATAGATTTTCATTTTCTTGCCTTTATTTTTTTGCAGTAACATTTTCATTTCAATACAAGATTTGTGCTGTTCTCCACAGCAGAAGTGGCTTTGGTTGAGATTTACATATCTACTAATTATCATATATATTCTGAAGCAATATTGTGTATGAAAGATGATTTTCAGTATTATTTTGACTGATAATTCCATCTTTAGCCATGACTTGGACAAAATAATTGAAAAATCCAATCAGCTTGCCCGGTTATGCTATTTTTTAAGGACTAATATTTATTATTGCTTGACATTTGAATGTTTTTGCTCTGAAGGCATTGCTTTTTGGAAGCCAGATATTTCTATAATGAAGTTAGGTTTCAGTCTTTGTCTCTTCTTACTTCTACTCAGTCAACTCTTGAAAACAAACCCTATGTGATGTGTCTTAGTATCAGTCTGTTATGGCATTCAGATTAATCTGATGATGATGGGGCACATTAATTAATTAGGTTTAACTCGAATCTTTTCAGGCAATATAGATTCAAATGTACAAACCAGTCTCTACTGGACTTAACCTCACTCTAAGGAGAAACATAAAACAGAAAGCAGGAGTGAAGGAGTGAAGCCTCAAAGCCTTGAAAGACTTAGAAAGGCAGACATTGTCCAGTCTCTCTTTAAAAGGGATAGTTGTTCATTTTTTCTGCTTTCAGTTTATAACTTGAAAGTGTAAGATTTTTGTAATAAAGTGAAATCGCACTGAAATATTCTGGAGAAAATAAATGTTCATGGTGTCTGTGTAGATTTGAAAAGCAAATAACTTCCAAGAATCACTGAGATATTCCTAATGAGCAGCCAGTCTGTTTACCCATTTATCTTCTGCTAGCTAACCAAATAATCGCTTAGAGCTTTAATGTATTTAATAGCAGCCATGACTCCAGTCACAGACTGGAAAATTTTATGAAGAATTTGGCCACTTTGCAGCTAAGGAGATTTGCTGCTGTGGTGTGACACATAGGCAAGCTGCCCTCTCTTGAGTTGATCCATGTCACATGAATCCCTATGGGTGGACTGAGTTCACCAGGACACTCGTTGCCTTTAGCACTTCCTGAGGCACATTTATGCCAGCGATGCGAGCTATCCATTGCCAGGCTCACCTCTCTTTTGTCCGAGGTCTGCTCTAAACCAGATCAGCTGCCAGCAGTGCTGAGGGGCCATTTCAACCACTTGCAATCCCTAGGAAATGAGGATGCTCAGGTCCAGGCCAACTTCAGGGAGCAGGCGTACTGAAAATCAGATGGGTGCTTCCCCCACAGTCAAGAGATTTTCTCTACACTCAATAAAAAGACTTAGGGTACCTCTTCAGCCCCTGTTAAAGGCTCCGGAAAGCTTCAGTGTTATGAATGCTATTTAAAGACAACATCTAAGAAACTGCTATCTTAAAAAAAACCAAAAAACAACAAACCAGAAAACCCAGAAAAACATGTCTAAATATCAATCATGGCTCATGTAGGCAGCAATATCAAGTTGGAATTCAGTTAGAGAGGATGTTGCTATTTTATAGTTATCACTTGAAAGAAGTATAATTAACTCTCAAGGTTGTTTTGTTCCGGCAATACATCTGGATGACAACCAAGAGAGGAAAGATAGAAGAAGTCTCCACATGAAATTTTGACAGCCTTTCTAGGACATAGCAGTGTGCTTGTTTACATAGTGTATCCTGTGCAGACATGAACTCACTCAAGCTGGGCTCTGAAGTGAGCACCAGGCTTGTGGCTGTGTTTGTACGACAGTGAACCCAAGCTAAGAAAAACACCTTTCTGTAAGATGAACGTAGCCGCACAGCTTCCTGTGGGCTGGAGCACAAGAAGATCAAGCCCATATCTGCTCAGAGCTTGAGCAGAGCAACTTTGCGTCATCTGGAACATGCAGTATAAACATTCTCTACAAAGGTTCAGATCTGTGTGACTGTCTTGAGTTCTGGTTAGGTGAGTCTCAACAGATGTTTTGAAGCTTTTAACGCAACGTGTGCAAATCCGAGAAAAAGAAGCAAGATTTTTGCAAATTAAAAAACAGGAATAATGAAGAAATGTGAAACTTCCAGGGATGTTGTTGTATTTTAGCAATATTTTCTCATTCTTTGTCAATTTTGTTTTCCTCATATGCAATTGTACTCTTTTCTAGTGATTCAAAAAGACAAACCTGAAAGACATGAAAAAGCTGAAAAGAAACCTCCTCCCAAAGGTATTTATTCATTTATACTACATTTTTTTACCAGAATTTACATTAAAAATATAGAATCATAGAATCATAGAATGGTTAGGATTAGAAAGATCATCTAGTTCCAACCCCCCTGCCATGGGCAGGGAAACCCTCCACTACACCAGTTTGCCCAAAGCCTCATCCAACCTGGCCTTGAACACCTCCAGGAATGGGGCATCTACAACTTCTCTGGGCAACCTGTTCCAGTGCCTCACCACCCTCTGAGTGAAGAATTTCGTCCTTATATCTAATTTAAATTTACCCTCTTTCAGTTTAAAGCCACTGCCCCTTGTCTTATCGCTACATGACACTATAATGATATTAAAATAAAATTCAAATTAAAATGTCTTTAAAACATCCAGAGGCTAGTTCTATGCATGATGCCTTTTAAAACATGTTGGAATTTCAAAGATGGAAATTAAAGGTATGAATCACCATTTCTCTGAAAAAGAAGAAAGCCTATCTGTGATTTCACATACACGCTCTCACTATTACTAGTCAAGGAAATTCCTTCTTCACTAGCCAGCAATATATTTGGTCATACAGTGCATTTTTCTGAAAGTAGGAATTGTCCCTTATAAAAATATCTATATTCTGTTTTAGAATAGGTAGAACTATTGGGTTTACATATTGACAAAATCCGTCTAGTCAGCTCAATGGCTCAATTGAAATAGAAGTCCAGAGCCTTGCAGAAGATGGATTTTGTAGCATTCAAGTTTTGCCTCAAGGATGATGACCTTCAGAGTTATGAAGAAAACAGAAGTGTGAACATCACACTGAACAGATTAGTTTAAATCATATTCAGCAGTGTTTTAAACTACTGTTGCATTTTTTACTGGAGTTAACTAGAAAGACATCTATTGTCAGCACCCATATCTCAGATGAGAAAAACCTGCTGACACATATGAGCAGAAGGAATACTCCTGGTCTCACCAACCTCTGTGTAGCTTCAGTCACTGATATTTGCAATTCAGTAATTCTGCTTGGAAACCTTCTCACCCTGCTGCAAGGCCTGTCTTAGACTAATCTTTCAGCCCGGGGAATCGATGTAGAGGGAGAATAGAGAACTCGAGGCTTCTTGGGCACAGACCTAGAATCAGTGCATAAAAGCAACCCTTACAAATAGACGCACTTTAAATCATCTACACAGCTTACAACAGAATTTAGCTCTGATCTCTGAAGCCTGAAGTTACTCAGATTTAGCCTGGAAGTACCTTCTATATTTGTTTCTTTCATGACCAGCATTGCCCCGCTAGTTTATACCATGAAAGCTAACATATTGTCATTACAAACATTGCATATTATTTGCCATAGCCTATTATCCTTAGTAGCAGCCAAATACTTGGTACAGGACTCAGAACAAAACTTGTTTGCATCTCACATTTCTGTCCAAGTCTATCTGGCTTTGGGGATTACATCTTTCATCAGATCTGAGCAAGGTGTTAATGATGAAGGAATACTTATTAGTAATCGTACAAGATAAAATAAATTGCATTGATTATTCTGGGGGGGATGAATGGCACTGAAAGCTTTTTCTTTATTACCTGCAGAGGAGAAGAAAGTAAAGAGCACTAAAGTGGAAGCAAAAGTTAAAAAGGAAGTGAAGGATGGAAAAGGAGAAGCAAGGACGACTGAGAAGCTCAAGCAGGCAGAGACTAAAACAACAGAAGTTGGGCTAATAAAGGCCAAACCAAAAGCTAAGGAGGAGAAAGCTCTTCAGACTATAACTAAATCGGAAAAGAAAGGTAAACAAAACCAGGAGGAAACAGATGAAGATCTTGAAAAGGTAGTATGGAAGCAGCAGAGGGAATAGATTTAAAGCTGGCAAGGACCAAAGTCTACCCATGAAAAAAAAAGTGCAGAACAAACAAGTTCCAAACAAGTCTCAGACCACTAGAAGGAGGCTATTAAGAATAAAAGAAGTTTAATCTAAATAACCAGAGTGTTCTAACTGTTTGTCATGGCTAAAGATTCATTTTAGTTTAAATCTCTTTTTACCAAGGACCAATATCTCTTTAGATAGGCTTAAGATTTCATGGATTTGCTCATTAGAATATTATGTCGTGTATGGCTACTAAAGTTATTTTGGGTAACACAGACTGTCCAATGACTGTTGGGAATTACATTTTTGTTTCTACCTCTACATACGTCCTCAGTAACAATAAGGAAAGTAGCAAAGGAAAGGAAGTGTAATAATTTGCATCACATCAGATTATATGAGGCATTGTCATGTTGTCAGGTATTGTATGACATGATGATATACCTGCCTGATGTAATTTCATACGAACAGCTTTCAAATTTCTCCTAAAAAGGAAAGAAATGCCATTACTCTGGTGAAAGAAAGAAACTAAGTCCTAAAACAAAGAATCAACGTACAACGACACCAAACAGAGGTGTTGACTACATGCTCCTCTTTGTTAGAGCCAGCCTGGGTTCTTCCACTCCCAAGTTGCACTGACCGGTTCTCTGATTTCCCTGTGGCTATTCCATGGCGTTAGGTACAATTCTGTATGAATGAAGGCAGCATGACCTGCCTCTCTATATGAATTGCCACGCTGCAGGTACAGGATTATTCCGACATTAATAGAGGCAGCTCAGCGTTGCGTGGGGCACCTATCTGATCCTCTCAGGTGATAACCACAGATGAATCATTATGCCTGAGCATCAAAGCAGCCGTCCTTGCCTGGATATCTGAATCTGCCTGGGCAGAATCTCTCAGAATTTCAGTCATCAGCTCTGGACCCCTTAGGAGTTGCCTAAATCATACATTTCCAGAAATCTGAGTGATTTTGTGACATAACCTCTTTTCTGACATGCATAGTCTG